AGTGCACCAAACTTTCTCCTCTTGGGTGCCCAAACTTTTGTGACCACATCAGTCACATACAGGAACAGAAAATTCAGTGGAAAGTTTCAAGTGGAAAAAAAAAGGATCCTAAAGCGTTTCTTAGAATTGTAGCAGACAAAACATGGCTTTGTCACTGTTTTTCTGAAGACAGGATGGAAGTGATCTCATAGAAGGAAAAGCAGACTGATCTGGAACAAAGATCCTAAGGGCAGGATTTGTTGGATGCTCTGAGCATTTTATTTATTGAATATATGGAGGCCTGAGAGTGATATAGCTGATTGCTTTGGTAAGTTTTAAGAAAGTAAGCCTGAGTTTTAGCATAGAAATTCCTGGGAAAGCTTCACTGAATTCCTCCTCACCCATAATGTTAGACCTGATCAATTTTCTCACTAAACAAGGATGACTTGGTGGCAGGCCTTCAATCTACTGGTTCAAACATTGGTTAGGATGCTTGTTTCTCCTAGTGGAATGCTTGGGTTTGAGTCCAGATTCTGCCCTTGATTCCAGCTCCCTGCTAATATTGAGCTGGAAGATAGCCCATGATGGTTTAAGGACCGGGATCCCTTCCACTGCGGTAGAGACCTGGGAGTTCCCACACTGAGGGTTAGATCAGCCCTGGATGTTATAGATATTTGGAGGGAGAAATAGAGATTGGAAGTTCTTTGTCTTGTCTATCTCTTTCCCTGCCTCTTAAATATATACATTCTTTTAAAATTAAAATAGATGAATGGCAGTTTGTGAGAGTTTTGGAGAGCAATCATCAGGCATCCACTGTATAATCCTGGTTTGGACCCTCATTCTGCCATCTTAATATTTTGTAGTCCTCAAAATATTTAAAACACATTCATAAATGTAAGAAGATTACATTGACCTGACTAAATTCCTCCCAGTTCTTTAAGGATGGACTGAATGACTGATGTTACCACAGATAAAAGTATCTTGAACTTGGTGGAGTTTATGCTGAGAATTAAAACTTCAACGTTTTGTTTTCGTCTTTGCCCTCTATTTTCCTATTAATCCTTAGAAATTTCCTCATTATTGCACTTTTGAAAGCACAAGAGACAGAATAAGTAGCAGAAATATTAGAAGGAATAACAGCTGAAAGTACTGCAAAATTATTGATAGATACTAAGCAAACGAGTCCTAGAAATTCAGAGAATACTATGTAGGAGAAATACCACAAAAACCACAACTAGGAATATTGTATTGAGCCACTGAAAGTGAAATACCAAGAGACAGCTTGGAAGGCAGGCTGAAGCGAAAAGGTTTACTACCCATAAAAAACTAGGATAAGAATTAAAGCAGACTTCCAATCAGAAACAATCCAATTAGGACAATAAGTGAAGTACATTGTGAGAATCCTCAAAGGGAAAAGGAAAAAAAAAACCCCAAAATCAATATAAAATTGCCATGCTAGAATTGTATTCCCAGAGAACATACCCCTCACAATAGAGGAAAAACTTTCCTAGATGTTCCACTGTGGAAGAATTCATCCCCAACAACCTTAAAGCATTTTAGGCAAGATTTTCAGGTAGAACAATTATATCCATCAGATGAAATTCATAATGCTGTGAAATATAAAAAATAAAATTTCAGTTTTCTTATAATTTAATGATTCTAAAAGATATATGTATTCTTTTAGATTCTAAAAGCATGTATACATAAATGCTTTTAAACTTTTTCAAATTTTAATTTTGTTTGAAACGTAGAGACAGAAAGGTTTTCCATCTGTAGTTCACTTCCCAAATGTCCACAGAAGGTAAGCTAAGGCAAAGTTGAAAGTGAATTGGAACTCAAGCTGGATCTCTCAGGTGGGTGGAGGTGGCAGGGATCTAACTAGTTCAGCCAATCACAGGCCACACTAGCAGGAATCTGGACTCAGAGTGGATCTGGGACTTCGTGTCAGACATCTGGATATGCAATCCTGGCAACCCAAGCAATGTCTTAACCTCTGCGCCAGAACTCACCACTTAAATGTATTCTAGACACAGTGTGAAAAAGTAATTGAGAACATTTACATAAAATTCATAAAATTCTGATACAGCACAAGGTTGACTCAACTGAATTAAAAATGTACATTGAAGCATTCTATGGCAACTACAGACAACTTTTTAAAAAATTACAAAAATAATAAAATAGAAGAAGTAAAATCAAGCAGCAAAACTGACAAATTAACTGGAAGGAAATGAGAAAAGGTATAGAGAGGAAGAAGGATGAATTGGAGAGTAATTTAGAAAATCCACAAATGGAATAGAGATGTTTGTATTTTTGAAAAAAAAAATGGAAATCTTTATATAATTTTTTCATAACACATTTTTATGGATGTTTTGCAGTACTCTTTTTTCTTAGGATTTACTACTTTTTATTGGAAGGAGTTATTTACAGAGGGAAGGTAAGATAGAGAGAAAGAGATAGCTTCCATCCACTGGTTCACCTCCCCAGAGGCCACAATGTTCTAAGTTGAGCCCATTTGAAGGCAGGAGCAAGGAGCCTCTTTCGGGTCTCCCTCATGAATACAGGGTCTCAAGACCTTGGACCATTCTCTGCTGCTTTTCAGGGCCATTGGCAGAGATCTCCATAGGAAGTAGAACACTTGGATCATGAACCAGTGCCCTCTGGGATGCTAGCACTTGAAGTGGAGGATTAATCAATTAAGCTGCTATGCTAGTGTCTACAATATCCTTGTACACATGACTTAAATATGCATCTAAACATGGTATGATATAATCATTCTACTCCCATATATTTGTCCAAACAAAATGTAAACTTATCTAGGGAATTGGTTTTTGGAAAAGGAATTCTATGGTATAATTTTTAATGCAAAATAATTTGAAACCTATGCTCAGTGCTTTACATAATACACATTTTTTTGGTGAAATTTTTGGAGATCCTTCATATCATAGTTTCCAATGTGGCAGGGAAAGACTTGGCGTGCTGGATATATTTATCTTGATGTGATGGTTTCATGAATGCCCGTGTATGTCAAAACATATCAAACTCTAGCCATTATATACATGCATTTTGTTGTATGTCAATTATATCTCAATGTGTCTGTTCAGAAAATACATCTAAGTCTGATTCTTATGGTAACACTTTCTGGTTTGGAAACATTTACATTTTTCATATTCTTAGAATTCTACCATAAATGTATCAATTTATTCTCCTGTTTTTCTGACACAGAAATTCATGCTTAGTTTCTCTTCTACAAGTGTTGTAGCCTACAAACAATATTTGTTAACTAAATCTTTTATACCTTCTTCATGGGCAAAACCTTATTACATTTCCTGTGCTTGTTTGCAGTTACATGTGGCCATGTGACCAGAGTTCTAGCTAACGATGGGTAGTTAGAGGTGGTAGGGAACATACTGAGATCTGTCCTTCCTCTGTCGTTGCACATGAACCTCGGTCTTTTTGCATTGCCTGGCTGAGGAGGACTCCTTCAAGACTCTGTAGAAAGGCAGATGAGCCTTTAAATACTCTTTGCCCATAAATTAAAATGCAAGAAGCTTGCAGTGATAGTAGAATTAGATTGCTAAGTGATCATGAATTACATTTTATTGGGATATGTTGTGAAATTTTGGCAGTTGGCTTGCTAGAGCATTCACATTATCATAACTAGTATACATCATTAAGTTTTACGGTACCATTGGATGTAATAAAGGTGACCTTTATGAGGACAATGTCTTCTGCTGGACAGTTCTTTTCTTGAACTCTCTCCTAGTAACATTCTAGTAACATTGTCAGGTAGACTCACATAAGTTATTCAATGAGCACTTTTCATCTTATTTATTTTTTTATTACAGCAATGAGGATGGAAGTATAGTTTCATTTGCTTCAATTAAAATTGGTTGATGATAAAGCAATATGTGCAAGTTTTTTCAATATTAATGTCTTAGAGATGCTTTCTCTATTATCTACAAGATAAGAATCATATAACATTGTGATTGAGGAAAATAATTACTATTGAAATAGAGTACATATAAGGATTTGTAGTTACTTGCAGAAAACTTATTCACACTTTTGATAAAATTCCATTATACAATTCCAAATTATGTTTTCAAAAACAAATTACAAAACAAAGTATTGTTTATTGCAAACTCATCTTGCAAAAGGATTATATTCATGAATAGCGATATTTCATTTCAATTGTGGGTGTTATTTCTGAAGAAACTATTAAGTTTTCCTATTTCTCTGTGGTATTTACTGAAACAAGTTTGGCTACATGAATGCAAAGGAATTTAGTCATTTGTTTCTACAAACGGACTTACTGGTAATTGTTAAAAAAGCAACCTCATAGTATATCTTTTCTGGAAATGCAATTTCATCTCCTATAGGCACACACACCACCTTACTTGTGGCAAAACCACAGTCTCTAAATTCAGTACTTATCCTTGAGAAGGAAAAAAAAGGAGCCTCTTCTCAAATTGCGAGAAATAGCCTTTCTAGAGAAATTACTGCAATCATAGCAGAATTGCTATTTCTTTAAGAAATATAAAAGGAATGTATGTGGATGGTTTGGAACTTGTGGAGTTTAGAATGGGAGATGTGAAATGGCCACTCCATGATGCAGAATAGCCCTCCTTTTGCAGTGCATTGCTGAATGGAGCCCTTATTTGACATGTGCACGGGAGCTGAAAAGAAATGTGAGCTAACTTCCTTCAGAAGTTCACGTTACCCAGGGCTATGTATACATCACATGAAGATTGCAAATGGTCAGTAAGCCCTGGGATATTCTTGATGAAGCTCCATCCTTATTCCCATGTCTATTTATTGGGGATACTATTCACTAGAGAAGTGTATAACTGTTTGATAACTGATAAACTCATTCCGTCACACTATTAAAAATGGAATGTTCCTCCAAAGGGTGCAGAGTTTAAGAGCTTAGACAGGTTGGGAATACCCCTGAGGAATACCTCAAAGAAAGCACTGGGACATTTCACAGGTCATAGTTCTTCAAATAAGGGGTCACTCAAACTCTTTTCCATAACATATTCACAATCTATTTACCGATATAATGTGAGTAAATCAGGTATATTTATCTTCCCTAGACTATCAATAAAGAGAAAATCAAAATGCCAAAATCAGAAGATGAAGAAGGACTTACAGAATTCACAGATTTTACCAGTCTGCCTCCCAGCATGGATGGCATCTAAGCTTGCAAGGTAGGTGATGGATTCTTAAAGGAGGCTGGTGGTTCACATTGTTCACATGATTGTCCAAAAGCTGTTAAAAGAGCAGGTGTTCGAATCTATTGATGCCAATGGTAAATTTAAGATCTATCAGAAGTCACCTATAATCATAGAAATTTGTATCTCTTGAGCTTTTCACTAGCACCATGTAGTATGATTAAGAATTGTGACTTAAATCACTTACTCATGGATTGGTGGAACACATTTTTTAAAGAAACATTTACGCATTTACCTTTCTTCATGTCTATAAGTGACTATAGCTGGCCTTTAAATTTTTGCCTTTGTTGTTTTTCTTTTCTTGTTCCTCCTGTTCTTGGAATTAGAAAGGTCTGGTTCAATAGAAAGAATTTATTCTGAACAAGCAACAAGGGACTCATATTTTAGTGTAGATTCATATTTAGTTGCAGGGTTTATTTTGAGACCATGGTCAATTCTGAGGAAGATTGTAATGGTCTCAAAAGTCAACTTAATTATTTCGAAGACTAGCTGTTGAGTACCAGTCAGGTGCCAGTCACTTTACAAATATGCTGTCATTTAATCCCACAACAATCTTTTGTGATATTAGAGCAGTTACTTGTGTAATGTCTAGCTGAGGAAGTAGCAATGTGGGATTCAAATACTTGTTAGCTTCTCAAGGCACCTCCCAATCCTGTTAGTCTGGTCAGGAAAGACAAAAGCTTTTGTCTTTAACCGGTAACATTCTGTACTGAATCAAAATCATTATAAATGAGATAGTTTTTCTTTTCTCATTTTAACCCATTAAATATTGTGGTCTATTGAAAGCCGGATTACTGTGGCTTTGGAAACATTTCTTCTTAGTGATCAGTACTGATCTATTCCTGATGATAAAAAAGGGCAATCTAGAAAAGTGTTAACTATTTCAGGATTTACTGTGCTGAAATTTCAATACTTTGGCAGTCTTAGTGGTAAGAGGTAGAAATTATTAATCTCTGCAGTTTTTGTTAGCAGTGAACAATGGCTAATGTCAGAATGACCAATTTACACTTTGCCTCCCCCCTCTACTGGGAGATGTGATAATGTTTGGAGACATAAAATAACATCTGTGGAGAGGGTGTTCTATTGATGTTTAGTTGGTAGCAGCCAGTAAACAGCTTGCCATACACAATACAGCTCCCACAAGGAAGAATTGTCTGATCTAAATGTCAATAGTGCCATGCACGAGAAACATTTTTTAGTTTGAAAGCATCTCTTTGTGCCATCTTCACTCCAGACATGCTGTTAGCTATTGGGTTGCGAAATGACTGATGTAATCTGTGTACCTGAGTGTTTTCTGTCTATAGGAGGATTGCATGAACAATTTCAGGGTAGTCTGGTAAGGCTTTGATGGAAGTGCGTATTGTAAACCACAGATGGGCCAGTAAACCGTCAGTAGTCAGAGAATCTTAGCAGTGTTTTGATCGTGTGGAAGGAGAGTGTGGGTAAAGAACTGATGGTGTTCCATTCATTGGAAACCGCAAAGGCAAGGTTTTGGAGCTTTTTTTTTTTTTAATTTAAGGCATAGTCAGTGATGTTGAGAGTGGGCAGTGAAAACAACTGGAGAAAAATCTGGAGGTATATAGACCAGGAAGTGACTGGGATATATGCTATTAAAGAGAAGCTTGGGTAATGTCATTGATATGCTATCAAATCTTCACCATTTTGGAGGCTCTTTCCATGAAACCCTTCTAGGAACTAGCTAGCAGGAAGCCCACTAAGGCTACAGTGTCTGTTGCAGGGAATCTAGGAGAGAAGAAAAACACACTCTCAGCCCTGCCACCCACAGTCGTGTCTTTTTTTAAAAAAATATGGATGAGTGTTTCATTTATTTATTCATATTTTATGATACAGTTTCATAGGCTCTGAAATTCGCCCTCCTCCCTCCCCAAATCCTTGCTACCCACTGATTTAGCCCTTCTTTAGTACAATAGTATAGTCCTTCAAAAAACAGAAGTCCACCATTCTGCTATTTAAATGTATCTTGACATTATAGATATGGACAGTGGTGAAGAGTCCAGCATCATATTGTCAAGATATATTTAACAGTTTTGTTGGGAAGATTTTCTTCTTATTTTCTTTCTTGTTTTTCAAAGCTATCTTATGATACAGTTCGTAGGCTTTGGTATTTTCCTTCCCCCCTCAAATCCACTGCCCCCACTAATTTCCCGTATGTTATTACAATAGAATAGACCTTTATAAGTAGTCTTAAGTCCATCATTCTGTTAAAGAGCAACCCTAATATCCAAATATTATCCAATATCCAAATAGCATTGTAGGTATGGACAATGTTAGATAGTCTAGCAAATTTCAGTCCTGGGTTCCTGTGCTAGGCTTCCACCATGGTCTCTTTAGCCCCAACTCCTGGCTCACAACTCTGCCTCCTGTGCTCCTGTGATATGGCCATACCATTTCCTGTACAGCCTTTCCTCCACTTACAGTTTGAGCAGTACCTGGTATTAGGGAGACACTAAGTGTCCTAAATCACTGGGTCTTCAGCAGTGCTAGTCTTTCTAGAAGCTGCTAGCCGTGAAGTCTGAGTGCCACCTGGGCCTATTTTGGGTGGGATCTATTGGACACCAAGTCAGTACTTTTTCTCTGTGAGATCAGTGCAATGTGCTGAGCCTAAAGTAAGTTCTTTCTTGGCTCAGTGCCTGTGCAGCCACTGTTGTTGCTTTAACCTCATAGCCTTTTCCTCAGTACACAAAATGGCACCCAAAATGGAACTGGTGGAGGTCTGGGTTTGCTGGCCATTAGGACTGGGGGTCACCTGAAATTTTCTTGTGTGGAACCTATAGGATGCCAAATTGGTGCTGTTTTTCTTGTGGGCCAGTGAAATATGTCAGGTCAGAGATGAGCCCACTGCTGTCTTAGCATATACATAGCTTGCTATTGTTTCTCCAGCCCCACAGCCTTTTCCTCTGTATGTAGAACTGCTCTTGATGTAGCACTATTGGTGGTCTGGTCCATGAAATCCACCCTATTTATGCAATGCCTCCTTGGAGGCTGGCCAGTCTACTTTGTTCATGGTCAAATCAAGCAACTTAATAGGATGGGCAGTTCTTTGCCTGAGTTCATCTGCTGAGCTCCTGTTGAACTCCCCTTCCCACCTGGTGATGGGTAGAGCTCAAGTTGCTGACTGCTTCTGGGATATCTGGTCATTCCAACAACATTCCATTGTCTCTACTGTTTTTTGTGTCCATGAGTCTCCAGGTGTCCATCCTCCATTGGTCTGTCCTCCCCTATTTTCCTGGCTTATACCTTCTCTGCTTCATCCTAGCTAATGATTATACATTTATTTAAACATGTCCTTACCGTATTCCACCATCTTGTTTCTCTCTGTGGTGGGTTTTGATGAATCATCCTTCTGTCCACTATAGTCATTATCTTTTAAACAGCTGTGTCTGTATTATACAATCTATTGACAATATTCATTTGAATTCATGTCAAAAACAAAAACTGACCTAAACTTTTGACAAGGAGAGAAGGATTGCTTTAAAATCAGATGACTAGGGCCCCGTGCAATGGCTCAATGTCTAAGTCCTCACCTTGCAAGCACTGGGATCCCGTGTGGTTGCTGGTTAATGTCCTAGCTGCTCTTCTTCTGATGCAGCACCCTGCCTGTGGCTTGGGAAAGCAATTAGACAATAACCCAAAGCCTGGGTGGAGACTATGAAGTCATGTGAGATACCTGGAAGAAGTTCCTAGCTTCAGACTGACCCTGTTCTGGCCATTGCAACCTTCAGGGAGTGAACCAGAGCATGGAAAAGCTTTCTCTGTCTTCCCTCTTTCTCTGTAAGTCTGCTTTTCCAACAAAAATAAATCTTTAAAAATCCCACAAAAACAAAAACAGAAGACTACCTGGCAGATTTAATTCTAGTGTCACAAAAGGTAATGTCAATGTTTTACATTGCAAATCCTTCCAACCCATCCAAATCAAGTCAAATTCAATATTTTATCATTTCTTTAACATGCTCACAAGGGTTACATAGCACCAATATATTGTCTAAGTTTCCCTTTATCCAAAGTTGGCCTAGGTTACAAAAAAAGTTCCAGAATTATTGGGTCTTATGTTGAAGTATAGAGTCTATTGCCCTTAGTGATATTGTATTAGGACAAAAAAAATTTCATAAATGAGAATGAAAATGAGAAGTTGAAATCAGAAGTTTGAGGGCTTCGTAGCAAGGAAGGAGAAGCCCAGGTGTATTCTCTTGTTGTTTTCACAGCAGCAAAATTGTGGTTGTAATTATGTTAGGTCACTACACCAGTTAGTTTCTTGTACCTTATCTTATATTTATCCCGGGAAAGCATAGGGAGCTCTTCTGCAGCTGAACCAAGACATTAACAGAGGAAGGGAGTAGTGCAATGTCAAAGTTTGTCAACCCTACATCCATTTGCATTCTCCTAATTTTAAGATGTTGTGTTGGCCTTGTTTCAAATGTAATCATGAAAATAAGATTGTTTCCTTATCTAAAAATATGAATGTGCAAAAGAAAAATTAAGAAAAACAGGAAGAAACAGTGGCAGGGATGAAGTCTCCATACTGAATCCCCAATTTGCAGAATTCTGATGACCCAGTCTCAGGCCTGTGTGTTTTGTTTCCCCACCTGTCATCCTCTGCTACAAGTTGGGAAGGTACATTTCTTCTTCTCTTGGGCTGTCTATCAGTATATATATTAAGAGTCAAGGAGAGTGGATCTGCCAGAAAATGTAACCTGGCAGTTACATACTATTGGTCAATCGAGGCTATATTCTTATCAAACTCTCTTAGATAGAGAAATTTAAGTGTTTCATCCATGAATATAAATCTTGTTCTGCATTTTCCAAAAATCTCTGAATCCTCTGAAATAATGAACTTTATAATGATCCAGTTGGAAAGTGGGAAGAGCCAGACTTACAAGGAAAGTTGCTGTAGACTAAGAATCCTTAGGGGAGTTCTGATTGTCCCTTTTATCATGCAAGCTTTAAGTCCAAAAAGT